AGTGATACATAATTAACAGAACGATCTATAATGCAGCGTACCTAGAAAGGTTTCTTGTTGTTAAGAACACACTCCAGTCTTCTAGGATATGCACAAAAGTTCCACAAATTATCTGACTAAATTTGTAGAGTACAATACATTTATTTTGTTTCTTCTCAGGAACGGACGGAAGTAATAGCTACCTACGCTCTCTGTGGGTTCTCCACCGTCACCGCTATAGGTGTCACACTGGGGACACTGATTCCCATTGCACCTGAACGGAAAGAGGATATTGTCAGACTCGTCATCCGGGCCCTTATTGCGGGAAACGCAGCCTCGTTCATGACAGGTTCCATTGCAGGTTTGTGAAAACAATTTGCATAAGAATATTCTTTATTTCAATGTTGAAATTAGACAAAGATACCAAACATAGAGACAAAGTTGCACCGTTATATATTATGGTTTTGAATGCAGGGAGTCAGGATCTGCTCGGAGAGCAGAAGGTTATGGTTCGATCCCAAGCCAAAAGACGTTAAAACAAGTGCATTTACATGGCAATGTACTAGCAATAATCTTGAGCGCGACGTTAAACCCCATTTCACTTGAAATGCAAGGGCGAGATAGTCTTGGCCACAACACAAATTTGCAAAGAATACAGTTGTTTCTATGTTGTTAATATCTAGTTGGTACTTTGATAATGTAACATGTAATTTCAATAATATGTTCCAACACGTTTTCAAATCTGACTGTTATTTCCGATCCAGGGTTGCTGTACAACGGGCAGATGTTGCAGTGACGTTTGTTACAATGACCAGACCTGCTTCCTGTAACTCAACCACTCACTCGCATTCTCTCTCATTCACAATACGCTCACACCCGGTTACGCGTTCTTGTATCGACTGATGGGATCGGGAGACTCGCTGACTTGGTTGATTGCATGTCATCGTATCCCAATTATGTAGATCGATGCTAATCACCGGATCTTCTGGTCCAGACACGATTATTTACAGACCGCCGTTATGTCGCTGAAACAGCAAACTCACACTGTCATTTAATTCTTGAAAGTCTGCATTGTTCTTATGCTGGAATATGGGTTATAAAGTTACGATATTTTGTCATGTCAATCGTGAAAAACTATAAAGAAAGGTTACATACATGGGAATTAGGAATCCTGATTGATGCATACACTGAAAAATCACTGAATTCACTGAAAACTATTTCACATCGGTCTTGGCAAAAGTAGTTAATAAACCTTTTAAAGAAAGGTTGATTCCAGGACAGTGTAGGATCTGCCCATTACACAAATCAGTTGATAAGAACATGACAGAAAACCAGATACACTGCATCAGGTGATGACCAGATTCATGAAATGATGCCTAATTAATTCTACAGGTACTCTTTCCGAACTATGTATTCACCCCAAACACTTACAAAAACTGTGTGAGTAGCGGGGGCGACTATTGGAGCACCACACGCTTACCCTTTTCGAGAACACCTGACATCATCTCTATATGATAGTGACACATTATATTGATTAACACATTATCATGATATTGTCGGAATCATACAATCGACTGAGCTTTCTTATAGTTATGTCATGAAAGGGTTTTGTCTCTTGTATCATGTTAGAAATGAAATGTTTATCCTACCAGAATGTCCGAACATTAGTCTCTGTAGATATCTGGGGTATGTGATACTGTTATACAAAAAACACACTTGAACCATTTGCCATAACCCCGGGATGAGATAAGTACAGTGTACAGATACCAAACACTGATATGTACAGGTGGCTATTTCACAAATGTAACCAGAATACGGACTTAGCCCCTTGATGTGTGATTCCGTGATATGTTGTTGTACCATGTACTTCTTTTAGATAAATGTTTAACTTATGGCCTATGGCTTGAAATATTGAATATAAAACTGTCTGCGTTGAGTGTTTTCGTTCCTCCTTATGTTTGGATGTAATACATATTCAATAATACTACCTATATAAGGTACTTTCAATTGGATTCTCACCCATCCTCGGTGTGAATGTTATGTTTATGTTCAGGAAATAAAGCACATTTTATGATGAACATGTCCTATAAAAAAAGGAAAATCAATGAGCCCATGACCTAGTTTTGCGATGTTCGAAGAAGTGACTTCTGCTGTTGTTTCTAAAAAATAGGTCAGGAAACGTAGGGGTTCTTTATGCTTTGTTTTGGACGCAGGATATATTCTCTACAACAAGTGCGATTAGTTTCAAATGCTGGCACAGTTTGCACTTTTGATTAGACAAGAAGAGTTAGCTCCCTTCTCTTGAACGTAGCCAGACTCGGCGTCATGATTGTATTGCGTATCATCGTACCCTGATGATGTGGGACGTGCCTTTGCATGTGTTTGTGACGGGTGCAACCATTGGTACAGAATACTCCCACCTTTAGCTAACACCTGGTATCATCACTATTTGATAGTGATTCATAAACAAATACTTATTATATGGTCGGAATCGTACAATGGACCTTGAGTAGAAATTTCTTATATTGATGGAGTTGGATTCTTGTCGCCTTTATTAATCGTAATACAAACCACTGGTTTCTTTGTCCAAGACGCGATAATTAACATACTGCCATGGAATAGCTTTCTATTGTTGGCTGCGGCCTTCAGTATGTAAACACCACACAAACAAACACGCAGTGTTGCTGTGAGCCTGTATAGTATGCATAAGTCTAGCCATAGGTGGGCGGTCGGGTAGCCTAGTGGTTAAAGCGTTCGCTCGTCACGCCGAAGACCGGGTTCGATTCGATGAAATTGCTGGAATATTGCTAAAAGCGGCGTTATACCATACTCACTCACTCTAGGGATAGGTAAAAGCAACACGTTAACTTAGAGCATGAGCATCAGTGAAATGTATGTCGGCATGTTTCTATTCATCTGCTAATTCATATCACTACCACCTTAATTTGTTTCATCAAGCATGTTATAAACGTGTTGTCCTGATTGCCCATGCAAGCAACAGGTTCATGACTATTGGAGGCAATTGTCATGACAACGCGCTGTTGAAGAAGCCTTTGTTTAAATTGTGAGGCCCTTCAAGTTAATGAAGCTGGCCAACATAGAGGCTGGCCTGGGCAACCGATCACAATAGATATAAACAGCACAGAGCGCAGGAGGTGCCAATGTGCCGTGAGGCCCTTGTATAACAGATCGCTTATAATACCTACATCCTGCTGTGACATCTACCTTGCCAGTAATACCGGCATCCTGCTGTGAGACACTACCTTGCCAGTAATACCAGCATCGGAAAACGGTATGAAGTTATGTTTCTTATGTTACCACATGAACTATATTTCAGATTGACAGTTAAGCTATGTTTGGAAGCGAGTGAGTGAGGTTGGGTTTAACGCCGCTTAGAAAGTGCTTCAGTTATGTCATAGCGTGTTGGCCTGACGCTGGAAGAAAGCCCGAGGTGACTCATGTCAAAGACAACTCCCTCTTTCTTGCAACCGACCGCCTCCGTGGTCTAGTGGTAGAGCGTCCGCCCGGAGGCGGAAGGTCCGGGGTTCGATCCCCGGCCGCGCCATACCGAAAGACGTAAAAGATGGTACTTATTGTTACCCTGTTTGGCGCTCGGCATTAAGGAGCTAAAACAAGGACTGGTCGGCTCGGAGTCAGTATACTGTGTCTGAGTGGGGTGTTCATGTTAAACTGCAGCATGGTATCTCAGAGAGCTAGCACTATAAATCGGCATCAGTCCGGACTAGTACAAGCAGCCACACAAACACACACACGTACATGCACGTCGCTATATAAGTGCAATAATCTTGGACGCGACGTTAAACCCACCTCACCTTGCTTGCCACTCATGAGTATGCAGTGCTTCGGGCACACCTTGAACTAATAATGATTTCGAAACTTGGTTTAGAACCACGATCATATGTTTCTGGCGCACCTGTAGGGGACACACCTGTAGGGGACGCACCTGTAGGGGACGCACCTGTAGGGGACGCACCTGTAGGGGACACACCTGTAGGGGACGCACCTGTAGGGGACGCACCTGTAGGGGACACACCTGTAGGGGGCGCACCTGTAGGGGACACACCTGTAGGGGACACACCTGTAGGGGACGCACCTGTAGGGGACGCACCTGTAGGGGACGCACCTGTAGGGGACACACCTGTAGGGGACACACCTGTAGGGGACGCACCTGTAAGGGACACACCTGTAGGGGACGCACCTGTAGGGGACACACCTGTAGGGGACGCACCTGTAAGGGACACACCTGTAGGGGACGCACCTGTAGGGGATCACCTGTAGGGGAAACATCTGTGCAAAGCGAATGTGACACCTCAGACGACTGGGCTATTCTGGACCCAAATTCTTCCCATTTTTCCCAATTCTGAAAAATACAGTGTATACTTACTCATCTGTATGTGTAACCTATAATTGTTACGATAACGTTCCATTGCATTTTGTCCACCGTTAAAAGTCGGTATTTGTAACCCTGTCTGGCTATCGGAATTAAGGGGATAAAACACTGGTCGGCTTGGAGTCAGTATACTGTGTCTAGGTGGGGTATCCATGTGACACACACACACGCACACACACACACACACGTGCATGCACGTTGCAGTGCAATAATCTTAAAAACGACGATAGACCTCGTTTCACCTTCACAACCACCTCTGTCAAACACAGGATCACTTTGAAGCGAAAATAGAATCCGAAGCTACGATCAACATATACTCACACAAATAATTAACTCCATTAATGACGTGGCGAATACCCACTGGTACTTGTGTTGCTTCCCTTGGACACGCCAGAAACCTATGATTGTGGGTTCGAATCCCGATTCTCTCTGATTATGTTTCTAGGTTTGTCAGCACCATACCCGTGCTCATGGGTTTCACCAAAGTGGTAAACATTTGAGACCTGCTTCACTTCGGGCTGTCCTCCCACATGAGGCTGGCACACCTTGATTTAACTGAAATACTCTGCAAAGCGTCGCTAAACCCAACTCACTCACTTACTTTCTTGTGTTTCTATATTTCAGTAACAGTATGGAGACGACTCCAGTGTCTTTGTTCCCAACCACGATGCCTTCGTACGACATCACCGCTAACGTGTCCGTCTCCGCGGTCAACGTGACCGTCACCGAAGACTCCTCTATGGTCACCGCCCTCCACGTCATGCTCATCACCGTCATCTGGGGTATCATCATCGCCGTCGGGTCCCTTGGCAACCTGATCGTCATATATGTCATGTGTTGCCATGGCGACAGATCGGCGACAAGTTATTTTGTTATCAACCTGGCGATTGCTGACTTCGCGTTTATGACGATCGTGGTTTCGCTGACCACCTCGATGTACGGATCTCTGGACTGGCTGTACGGGAACAATGTGTGCAAGCTGACACAATACATGATACACGTGAGTAGAACCTACACTTGAACCTCGTTAATACAAATCTCGTTAGTCACACAATACATGATACACGTGAGTAGAACCTACACTTGAACCTCGTTAATACATGATACACGTGAGTTGAACCTACACTTGAACCTCGTTAAGTCACACAATACATGATACACGTGAGTAGAACCTACACTTGAACCTCGTTAATACATGATACATGTGAGTAGAACCTACACTTGAACCTCGTTAATACATGATACACGTGAGTAGAACCTACACTTGAACCTCGTTAATACAAATCTCGTTAGTCACACAATACATGATACACGTGAGTAGAACCTACACTTGAACCTCGTTAATACAAATCTCGTTAGTCACACAATACATGATACATGTGAGTAGAACCTACACTCGAACCTCGTTAATACAAATCTCGTTAGTCACACAATACATGATACACGTGAGTAGAACCTACACTTGAACCTCGTTAATACATGATACACGTGAGTAGAACCTACACTTGAACCTCGTTAATACAAATCTAGTTAGTCACACAATACATGATACACGTGAGTAGAACCTACACTTGAACCTCGTTAATACAAATCTAGTTAGTCACACAATACATGATACACGTGAGTAGAACCTACACTTGAACCTCGTTAATACAAATCTAGTTAGTCACACAATACATGATACATGTGAGTAGAACCTACACTTGAACCTCGTTAATACAAATCTAGTTAGTCACACAATACATGATACATGTGAGTAGAACCTACACTTGAACCTCGTTAATACAAATCTAGTTAGTCACACAATACATGATACACGTGAGTAGAACCTACACTTGAACCTCGTTAATACAAATCTCGTTAGTCACACAATACATGATACACGTGAGTAGAACCTACACTTGAACCTCGTTAATACAAATCTCGTTAGTCACACAATACATGATACACGTGAGTAGAACCTACACTTGAACCTCGTTAATACAAATCTCGTTAGTCACACAATACATGATACACGTGAGTAGAACCTACACTTGAACCTCGTTAATACAAATCTCGTTAGTCACACAATACATGATACATGTGAGTAGGACCTACACTTGAACCTCGTTAATACAAATCTCGATAGTCACACAATACATGATACATGTGAGTAGAACCTACACTTGAACCTCGTTAATACAAATCTCGTTAGTCACACAATACATGATACATGTGAGTAGAACCTACACTTGAACCTCGTTAATACAAATCTCGTTAGTCACACAGTACATGATACACTTGCGTTGATGTTACACTTGAACCTCGTTAATACAAATCTCGTTAGTCACACAATACATGATACATGTGAGTAGAACCTACACTTGAACCTCGTTAATACAAATCTCGTTAGTCACACAATACATGATACATGTGAGGAGAACCTACACTTGAACCTCGTTAATAAAAATCTCGTTAGTCACACAATATATGATACATGTGAGTAGAACCTGCACTCGAACCTCGTTAATACAAATTTCGTTAGTCACACAATACATGATACATGTGAGTAGAACCTGCACTCGAACCTCGTTTATACAAATCTCGTTAGTCACACAATACATGATACACGTGAGTAGAACCTACACTTGAACCTCGTTTATACAAATCTCGTTAGTCACACAATACATGATACACGTGAGCAGAACCTACACCTGAACCTCGTTAATAAAAATCTCATTAGACACAATACATGATACATGCATGTGTGAGTAGAACCTACACTTGAACCTCGTTAATACAAATCTCGTTAGTCACACAAAACATGATACACGTGAGTAGAACCTACACTTGAACCTCGTTTATACAAATCTCGTTAGTCACACAATACATGATACACGTGAGCAGAACCTACACCTGAATCTCGTTAATAAAAATTTCATTAGACACAATACATGATACATGCATGTGTGAGTAGAACCTACACTTGAACCTCGTTAATACATATTTTGTCAGTGAAACAATACATGATACACGTGAGTAGAACCTACACTTGAACCTCGTTTATACAAATCTCGTTAGTCACACAATACATGATACACGTGAGTAGAACCTACACTTGAACCTCGTTTATACAAATCTCGTTAGTCACACAATACATGATACACGTGAGCAGAACCTACACCTGAACCTCGTTAATAAAAATCTCATTAGACACAATACATGATACATGCATGTGTGAGTAGAACCTACACTTGAACCTCGTTACTACAAATCTCGTTAGTCACACAAAACATGATACACGTGAGTAGAACCTACACTTGAACCTCGTTTATACAAATCTCGTTAGTCACACAATACATGATACACGTGAGCAGAACCTCCACCTGAACCTCGTTAATAAAAATCTCATTAGACACAATACATGATACATGCATGTGTGAGTAGAACCTACACTTGAACCTCGTTAATACAAATCTCGTTAGTCACACAATACATGATACACGTAAGTAGAGCCTACACTTGAACCTCGTTAATGCGAATCTCGTTAGTCACACAATACATGATACACGTGTTTTGAGCCTACACTTGAACCTCGTTAATACAAATCTAGTTAGTCACACAATACATGATACACGTGCATTGAGGTTACACTTGAACCTCGTTAATACGAATCCTGTTAGTCACACACTACATAGGAGCAGGTTAGTTGAGCCTAAACTTGAACATCGTTAATATAAATCTCGTCAGTCACACAATACATGATACATGTGTTTTGAGCCTACACTTGAACCTCGTTCTTACAAATCTCGTTAGTCACACAATACATGATACACGTGAGCAGAACCTACACCTGAACCTCGTTAATAAAAATCTCATTAGACACAATACATGATACATGCATGTGTGAGTAGAACCTACACTTGAACCTCGTTAATACAAATCTCGTGAGTCACACAAAACATGATACACGTGAGTAGAACCTACACTTGAACCTCGTTTATACAAATCTCGTTAGTCACACAATACATGATACACGTGAGCAGAACCTACACCTGAATCTCGTTAATAAAAATTTCATTAGACACAATACATGATACATGCATGTGTGAGTAGAACCTACACTTGAACCTCGTTAATACATATTTTGTCAGTGAAACAATACATGATACACGTGAGTAGAACCTACACTTGAACCTCGTTTATACAAATCTCGTTAGTCACACAATACATGATACACGTGAGTAGAACCTACACTTGAACCTCGTTTATACAAATCTCGTTAGTCACACAATACATGATACACGTGAGCAGAACCTACACCTGAATCTCGTTAATAAAAATTTCATTAGACACAATACATGATACATGCATGTGTGAGTAGAACCTACACTTGAACCTCGTTAATACATATTTTGTCAGTGAAACAATACATGATACACGTGAGTAGAACCTACACTTGAACCTCGTTTATACAAATCTCGTTAGTCACACAATACATGATACACGTGAGTAGAACCTACACTTGAACCTCGTTTATACAAATCTCGTTAGTCACACAATACATGATACACGTGAGCAGAACCTACACCTGAACCTCGTTAATAAAAATCTCATTAGACACAATACATGATACATGCATGTGTGAGTAGAACCTACACTTGAACCTCGTTACTACAAATCTCGTTAGTCACACAAAACATGATACACGTGAGTAGAACCTACACTTGAACCTCGTTTATACAAATCTCGTTAGTCACACAATACATGATACACGTGAGCAGAACCTCCACCTGAACCTCGTTAATAAAAATCTCATTAGACACAATACATGATACATGCATGTGTGAGTAGAACCTACACTTGAACCTCGTTAATACAAATCTCGTTAGTCACACAATACATGATACACGTAAGTAGAGCCTACACTTGAACCTCGTTAATGCGAATCTCGTTAGTCACACAATACATGATACACGTGTTTTGAGCCTACACTTGAACCTCGTTAATACAAATCTAGTTAGTCACACAATACATGATACACGTGCATTGAGGTTACACTTGAACCTCGTTAATACGAATCCTGTTAGTCACACACTACATAGGAGCAGGTTAGTTGAGCCTAAACTTGAACATCGTTAATATAAATCTCGTCAGTCACACAATACATGATACATGTGTTTTGAGCCTACACTTGAACCTCGTTCTTACAAATCTCGTTAGTCACACAATACATGATACACGTGCGTTGATGTTACACTTGAACCTCGTTAATACAAATCCAAATGATACACTAGAACTTCTTTAATAGAAATCCCGTAGTCACACAATACATGATACACGTGCGTTGATGTTACACTTGAACCTCGTTAATACAAATCCAAATGATACACTAGAACTTCTTTAATACAAATTCCGTAGTCACAAATACATGATACACGTGAGTTGAGCCTACACTTGGACTCTCGTTAGTTACCAGATATACCGTTAGTAAAGCAATACATGTTATACGTGAGTTCAGTTCCTCATTGAATTTGAAAATTGGATTTGACAAACACATTACAAACTTTATCGAAACGCTACGTGGCTAAAAACAGTCCTGCAAACTTGAGTCCAAAAACACAGCTCTGATGCCGGTATGAAATATCACCACTTCTTGTTTGGTGCATTTTAGCCACCATCAATAGTTTAATAGTATGATAAAGAAGGACATCTTTGAAGCAGACTGAAAGTGTTTCGGTTCAAAGTGTCAAGTGTTATTTCTTTGAGTGAAATGTCAATTTAATATTTTCAGATAAAAATAGTATTTCATCACTAAATACATGCAACCGTTACACTGTCCCTCTAACACTGTCCTTGACATGACCTCCAGGTTAACCTACTAGCCACGTGTCTGACACTGACCGCGATGACCGTAGACCGTTACTTCGCCATTGTCCATCCTATCCGATCCATCCGGTCAAGGACGCCGCAAGTGCCCATCTTCATCAACATTGGAATCTGGTTAGGTAGGTAGCATATAAACACATATTTTGGGTGAAGAAATATTAAGACTGCGTTGTGTGTTGCCAAACGAACATGTATGTATGTCGTGAACGTTCTCCTTTCTCATAAGCAGCAGAATCTCTTCATTTGCACACAGCAGAAGTAATTCAAACTTAACATTTCGTTTCTAGTTTCTACAAAATCAGTAAATAGGCCATCGGGTCACGGGATTCACTGCTCCATTTACAGGCCGCAGTCGCATGATAGGAGTTCTGCTGTGCGGTTTGGGGCAATTTTTTCATACAAATTTTGTGAGTGGTCGGTTCTTCCGGTAGAGCGGGACATGCCTACCCTTTTCGCGAACAACTTGTATCATCACATATTTTCAGAGATTCATTCGTATAGGTTTCACAGCAATTTGGCCCTTGTCGCCCAATCTGTTTCGGAGACTGTTTTTTCTCTCTGGTTTTATATTTTTAAAAGTAACGTCGCATGTTTCTTGTAGCGACTCTCATATTATTAAAGTGATGTTCTAGACACAGAGGGGCGGTCGGGTAGCCTAGTGGTTAAAGCGTTCGCCCGTCACGCCGAAAACCCGCGTTCGATTCCCGACATGGGTACAATGTGTGAAGCCCATTTCTGGTGTCCCCCGCCGTGATATTGCTGGAATATTGCTAAAAGCGGCGTAAAATCATACTCACTTACTTCCTCGAGACACCGAGTACTGATCATAATATTTGCCGCTGTTGTAGCGGTGTCGAACCGGGAAGCATAATTTATTTAAGTTTCTGGAACGAAGAATGTCCGATCGGGATGCAGAATTCGTGCAAGGATGCTGTCAACAAGTCTTCAAATTCTTGACAAATTTCTAACATTGCATTGCAATGAAGCGTACAGAAAAAATTTCTTCATGAAATTAAGCATTAACGCAATGAATGGTTGCGCAGAAGTAAATCGGCAAAAATGTTTAATGTCGTTCATAAGCGTAGGAATGGCATATTTTGACGTTAATACGTATTACACGAGAAGTGAAGTAAGGCAAACACTTACAGAATAGTTCTTAAGCGTAGGAACGACATATTTTGACGTTAATACGTATTTCACGGGACTGTATTCTTAAAGTTAGGTAAACACTTACAGAATAGTTCTGAAGCGTAGGAATGACATATTTTGACGTTAATACGTATTTCACGAGACTGTATTCTTGAAGTTAGGTAAACACTTACAGAATAGTTCTGAAGCGTAGGAACGACATATTTTGACGTTAATACGTATTTCACGAGACTGTATTCTTGAAGTTAGGTAAACACTTACAGAATAGTTCTGAAGCGTAGGAATGGCATATTTTGACGTTAATACGTATTACACGAGACTGTATTCTTGAAGTAAGGTAAACACTTACAGAATAGTTCTGAAGCGTAGGAACGGCATATTTTGACGTTAATACGTATTTCACGAGACTGTATTCTTGAAGTAAGGTAAACACTTACAGAATAGTTCTGAAGCGTAAGAACGGCATATTTTGACGTTAATACGTATTTCACGAGACTGTATTCTTGAAGTAAGGTAAACACTTACAGAATAGTTCTGAAGCGTAGGAACGGCATATTTTGACGTTAATACGTATTTCACGAGACTGTATTCTTGAAGTAAGATAAACACTTACAGAATAGTTCTGAAGCGTAGGAATGGCATATTTTGACGTTAATACGTATTACACGAGACTGTATTCTTGAAGTATGGTAAACACTTACAGAATAATTCTGAAGCGTAGGAATGGCATATTTTGACGTTAATACGTATTACACGAGACTGTATTCTTGAAGTAAGGTAAACACTTACAGAATAGTTCTGAAGCGTAGGAATGGCATATTTTGACGTTAATACGTATTACACGAGACTGTATTCTTGAAGTAAGGTAAACACTTACAGAATAGTTCTGAAGCGTAGGAACGGCATATTTTGACGTTAATACGTATTTCACGAGACTGTATTCTTGAAGTAAGGTAAACACTTACAGAACAGTTCTTAAGCGTAAGAACGACATATTTTGACGTTAATACGTATTACACGAGACGTGAAGTAAGGCAATTACTTACAGAACAGTTCGTCCATCTTCTGGGGTCAACCATGATAATTAAGACGCTTTAATCTTGAAAAGTCAGAGTGTTTGACTGCATGCCTGTGATCAAATATCCTCGCTACGACCCATCCTAGCGGAGAAAATGAAAAAATTCGACCCAAACTATCGATTCGATCTTTGTCTAGACTGACAGTGACAGCAATGGACATTCTACAGCAATCTATAAAGTAACTTCAGTACCTATTGACACACCTTTATAATCACTTCTCAGGGATCGGCCAACTGATCAATGATGACTGGCACCAAATCGCCACAGGTTCATAGACAACTTCTGAAATCTCCCCCGTCACCATTCGTCGAGTCGGCCATTTTGACGTCTTGTACTTGAAGTAAATGTATTACGACACTCTCACTGACTGAGATGATCTCTTCACAGACATCTAATGACGATATTATTTAAATCGATGTGTTGTAACCAAACTACAAAAGATGTTACTGTGGACCAATTTGAGCACACATACGCCCAAGTCATTGTAGTTTTGAAGAACTATTTTTCTGCGATACGGTGGGATGTGGCTGTAAAGAATTATAAACAACCAACTTAATTAACACAATTCCTCAGAGTTAGGCTCAGAACCTTGAGCCACCCCTCGGAGATGTTTTTTTTTTGTTTGCTGTTTAACGCCGCACACAGCAATATTCTAGGTATATGATGGGGTCTGTAAATAATCGAGTCTGGACCAGACAATCGAACCGCGATACGATGACATACATCAACGAAGTCAGCGAGCCTGACCACCCGATCCCGTTAGTCGCCTCTTACGACAAGCATAATCGCTTTTTACGGCAAGCATGGGTTGCTGAAGACCTATTTTACCTCAGATCTTTACGGGTCGCATCTCCAGTGCTGACTGTTGGGTAGTGACCGTGTTGTACAAGAACCCCTCCAGCAGTACAATTGTCGAGCGATTAGAGAACGTTTCCGATAGAAGAATACCACGTGATAGTTTTAGGAAATATATCTAGACGTATTGATACATAAACTAATGGACAATAAACAATCGACAAAAAATCAGTTTCTCCTGAAATGTTACATGTCTTATTTGTAGACGCATACGGACTTATGAAGCGTGGATGTGGATGACTCATTCGCCTCTATAATGTTTCTATGGTTGTCAGCACCATGTCTTTGCTCGTGTATGGAATACTGTAAGGGACATTCTCGCGATCTCGACCTTTGGAAACGAGCTAAATATGCCCAAAACACGAGAATGCGAGATCGCGAGAATGTCCCTTGCAGGATTCCATTCTCGTGGGCTTCACCAAAGCGGTTCACGTACGCGTCTAAGAACATCAAAACTTCTGGCTTTGTTTCTGAGAAGCTGACACGCCGTCAATAACTGACATTCTGTTCAATGGGCGTTATACCAAACCATGCTGCTTGAAACGTTACGAACGACTCACACCACTGAATCGGCCGTAAAATACCAATTTCTTGTACCAAGTAGACAATAATGCCACAATGGTATAATTTGTTTGTTTTTTTAACGCCGCACTCAGCAATAGTCCAGCTATGTGACGGGTGTCTGTAAATAATTGAGTCTGGATCAGACAATCCAGTGATTGACATCATGAGCATCCCACCACCCAATTGGGATACGATGACATACATCAACCAAGTCAGCGAGCCTGACCACCCGATCCCGTTAATCGCCTCTTACGACAAGCACAGTCGCCTTTAACGGCAAGCATGGGTTGCTGAAGACCTATTCTACCCTGGATCTTCACGGGTCGCAATGGTATACAAAGTGATGGCATAAAGAGAGACACTAGTTATGTACGAGGAGCGAGGGACAAGCAAGTGTTCTTATAATATCCAGGGATTCGTGGGCCTGCAACTCCAGACACTAAACTAATAAGCGTTTAGCACTATCAGATCATATATTCCCCAAAGTATATTTCTTATTATTTTTATCATATTTCTTTGAAACAAAAATGTGACATCTCATCTAATTCAATGTGACGTCCAAACTGATTGAACGTAAAAAAAATTTATTGTTACAGACTTAAACGTATCTATCAGATTACCCACCGAAAATCGCCTGAAGTTGTCAGATATAATGGGTCCCCAAGGTTTGACTTATCGTGTAGTTCTTCACCAGCAGTGTGTCAACTTTCAATAATCTTAATCAATCTTCGGAAAAAAGGGCGGGGGTTAGGACTTTATCTGTAATAAATTCACCATCTCGTGTAAACTACACTCAGGGGTTTATTTACATGTAGTGAAAGACATTATTACGAACAACTTCCGCGTTGTTTTGTATCCCCGCTCAGACAGTTCTTGGTGTTCTCTAGTCCTTAAGGGGCCCTGCTGGCAGCGTATTCCATCGCCATGTCTATTTCTATGCGTGTATTTTACGCGTTTCAAAATACTTCGTGAATGTCTTTATGATAAAGATAGGTGACGATGTGAACTAGGTCGTAGCGGGGCGTTCAACATTGATGCGGTGTGTGTGTGTGTGTGTGTGTGTGTGTGTGTGTGTGGCTACGTCTACTGGTTCCTAATTTTGGTGCTTTTATAGTGCTATTCCACTGAGATACCATGCCAAAGTTAGACATGGATACCCAACCCTGGCTCTGAGACAATAAATCACTCGAGTGAGTGAGTGAGTGAGTGAGTGAATGAGTCTCATTACACTGGCTCTGAGACAACCAATCACTCGAGTGAGTGAGTGAGTGGGTGAGTGAGTGAGTGAGTCTCATTACACTTGCTCTGAGACAACCAATCACTCGAGTGAGTGAGTGAGTGGGTGAGTGAGTGAATAAGTCTCATTACACTTGCTCTGAGACAACCAATCACTCGAGTGAGTGAGTGAGTGGGTGAGTGAGTGAGTGAGTCTCATTACACTTGCTCTGAGACAACCAATCACTCGAGTGAGTGAGTGAGTGGGTGAGTGAGTGAATAAGTCTCATTACACTTGCTCTGAGACAACCAATCACTCGAGTGAGTGAGTGAGTGGGTGAGTGAGTGAGTGAGTCTCATTACACTTGCTCTGAGACAACCAATCACTCGAGTGAGTGAGTGAGTGGGTGAGTGAGTGAATAAGTCTCATTACACTGGCTCTGAGACAACCAATTCAATCACCCGAGTGAGTGAGTGAGTGAGTGGGTGAGTGAGTGAATGAGTCTCATTACACTGGCTCTGAGACAACCAATCACTCGTGTGAGTGAGTGAGTGAGTGAGTCTCATTACACTGGCTCTGAGACAACCAATCACTCGAGTGAGTGAGTGGGTGTGTGAGTGAATGAGTCTCATTACACTGGCTCTGAGACAACCAATCACTCGAGTGAGTGAGTGGGTGTGTGAGTGAATGAGTCTCATTACACTGGCTCTGAGACAACCAATCACTCGAGTGAGTGAGTGAGTGAGTGAGTCTCATTACACTGGCTCTGAGACAACCAATCACTCGAGTGAGTGGGTGAGTGGGTGAGTGAGTGGGCATGTGAGTGAGTGAGTGAGTGGGCATGTAGGTGAGTGGGCATGTTGGTGAGTGAGTGAGTGAGTGGGCATGTTGGTGAGTGAGTGGGTGAGTGAGTGGGCAGGTGAGTGGGTGAGTGAGTGGGTGAGTGAGTGGGCATGTGAGTGAGTGAGTGAGTGAGTGGGCGAGCGAGTGAGTGAGTGAGTGAGTGAGTCTCAGCACAATCATGGAGAGTGAAAGGAACGTAAGTAACAGTGATGGGCAAACATTGGGCTTCCAGCAGCGGTTACCTCCTACCCTCATCCGTTATCCAGAATGTCACGCCTGGAGCCACGAATCTACCCGTTATATAAGTGTGCCAGTAAAAGGACATCCCGCTTCGTGTTTTGGACAACAAGATGGCGGTTCCCATGAAACAGCTAACGAGGAATTGTTTTTGAGAATTCCTTATCGTTTCAAACTGTATGTGATAATTTGTAGCCAATCGGAGAGCGCGATGTAAATCTGTCAGCTCCAGCGGACATTTGCCTTACGGGTAGACACGTCTTCACGCCGAAGGCCGAATTCTGGTGTCCCCAGCCGTGATATAACTGGAGTATTGCTAAAAGCTGAGTAAATATATACTCACTCACTTCATGAGATGCACGTTCTACTATTTCATTGACAATTGACTGCGTTTTGTTTTGATGAACTTCTGTCTGTGCAAAGTGTATGCCATTTCCTGTACTAGGTCAATGCGTGGCGTATTAAGCACTGCATGCCTGCATCTAATATATAAAAAAACATCCCCTCATCCTTGTTTTTGTCCTATAATAGAACCATGTTGTTATTTCCAGCATCGTTTTCGCTCAGCACTCCCTACATCCTCTACTACCGCGTCGTCACCGACTACTACCGCGGCCCCCGCGTCTACTGCAAGGCGGAATGGCCCGACCCCCGCTGGCAGAGGGGTGTGACCGTGGCGGTTGTCATGGCAACCTACGTCCTCCCCCTCACCGTCATCATCCTCTGCTACACCCTCATTCTCAAACACCTCTGGAAGAACAAGGTCACCAGTCGGCGAGACAACGTGAGTGTACACGCCTTCCCCTTCATCCATATTTATTGTTGAATCATTCTGGTGTCAGTTCTTGTTATTGAGGCTGGGACAAATAGCGCAGTGGTATGATACGCTGATATTCGCTGTGCAGAGTTGCATCCCTTAGGCATGCCGGTTGTCTCGTCATAGGTTCGAATCCCATATTAGCCAATAAAATAATGGAGACCGGAAAACTGCCATATTTGTCTTCGTTGGTTTCAACAATGGGGTAAATTTGGTTTCGTCACGTTGTGAAATATTGCTCCGAGCGGATTTAAACACAATTTTGCTTTCTGAGTGTATCGACAGTGCGTGCTATGTTATAGTTTTTACTCTTGTGACAGATGGATGACGTCATCAACATAAAATCTCTCATTGAATCACCAGATGTATGTTAGAATGATATTTTAGGATTGAAGCACAGACCACTTAAAACGAACACGGTTATAATACTAACTGTTATAACGAACATGGTTAGAAAACTAACAGTTATAACGAACACGGTTATAACACTAACAGTTATAACGAACTTTCAAAAGACCTGTCTGCTTTACAAAAGGATATTGTCATATTACATTCACGCGTGTAACGAATTCTATACAAGGCGGTGACGGCTACAGTGAACCCATGTAAACACATTTCGACAAACTGTTCCTTATAACTATGTTTTAAACCACGTGAGTATCTAGTCTGACTGTCGATCCTTCTCAGTGTGTCATGTCTTAGGCACAGGTGAAGGCGCGGGTGAAGGCGCGGGTGAAGGCACAGTTGAACATTATAGGAAAAGGAGAACCTTAATTCGAAATTAATTTGTTCAAAAGTTTTTGTGCCCATAATAATTTTTTGCCGAAAATCCAATATGGCCGCCAGCGGATACTATAGGACACTCTTTTGCCTTGGGAACATTAAATTAATTTAGTAGACACTATGAGCATTATAAATGCTTGAACTGGCACTCGTTTTCTACTCGACTATCTGCACACACTGTTAAGACATCTGCTAACGAGACGGGTATTTCCAAATGGGTAAGAGGAAGACATATAACACCACTCGATATCTTTTCAGAGTAGGAGGCATAAACAAATTATTGCCTAACATACACTGACGGGCAAAAGGAAGTACACACCTATATCTGATGGAGGCTAAAATGAAACAAACAAGAAATGGTTATTGGAAATTGTGATGAATTAGATACGTGTATCACAGTGGGGTTTAGGACCTGAAGTTTACAGAAATTCGGCGACCGTTTTCAACGTTGGAAATTCTTTGGTGGAATCCAATTTTCAAGTGTATGCTTTCTTTTGCCCGTCATTTCACATTGAGCCGAGACATCAGGTAATACTTATAATAATAATAAGACGAAAATGAAGAACTCTTATCATGCGATAACCTCCACGGGACAAACCATGCTCAAAGCGCTGACAACACACATAGATATGTAAACAAGATGGCGCTGACAACACACATACATATGTAAACAAGATGGCGCTGACAACACACATAGATATGTAAACAAGATGGCGCTGACAACACACATAGATATGTAAACAAGATGGCGCTGACAACACACATAGATATGTAAACAAGATGGCGCTGACAACACACATAGATATGTAAACAAGATGGCGCTGACAACACACATACATATGTAAACAAGATGGCGCTGACAACACTCATAGATATGTAAACAAGATGGCGCTGACAACACACATAGATATGTAAACAAGATGGCGCTGACAACACACATAGATATGTAAACAAGATGGCGCTGACAACACACATAGATATGTAAACAAGAGTTAAGTAGCTGAGTTATCAAACACAAATCTTGACTTGAAAATATCAAGTGATGGGGATGTTCTGAGGGCAATTGGAAAGCATCCATTTCTTTGCAGCAGTTGCTTGAAAAGTTTGGGCACAATGGATTTAAGTTTCCATGTGGCCAGCTGAAGTTTGTCACCAGACCGCAAGTTCCTAGATGGCTTGTACACAGGGTAATGTCCTTGAGATAAGATGGAGCTGTTCCATACATACTAACCCCGCCCCAACTCACATTGGTAGGGCATCAGCTAAGAGACGGATAAATTCAAATAGGTTTGAGGGAGACCTACTTATATGCCAACATGATAGCATCACTAGGTATTTCGGTGTGGCGACCGCAGCACGTATACCCCAATGCTCTGCAAACTAAATTTTAGTTGGCTTCTGGCGTTCATATGTGCAAGTAGTAAATGGATATCTCTCTCTAAGTTACAAAATAGTGAATTAGAATAGTACCTAAATAGAATAGAAATAGTTGATAGTGTTACCCATTTACATGGTTGACATACGCTAATCAAACGGTAACTTCACTTTAAGTTTCAAATCCATTTAATTTTATTTTATTACATTGTTCATTACATTACAAAGGGATTTCACGTTTAGTTCATAACAAGGAGATTTCACGTTTAGTTGATTACAAGGGGATTTCACGTTTAGTTGATTACAAGGGGATTTCACGTTTAGTTGATTACAAGGGGATTTCACGTTTAGTTGATTACAAGGGGATTTCACGTTTAGTTGACTACAAGGGGATTTCACGTTCAGTTGATTACAAGGGGATTTCACGTTTAGTTGATAACAAGGGGATTTCACGCTTAGTTGATTGCAAGGTAAGTTCATGTTTAGTTAATCTGAGTTTAGTCTTCCACCGGGGACCAGGGTTACTGGCACAAATGTTAAAAAACGTCATTACTCCCATTTCGAACATTGAAATGCAAGAAGTATATTGTGGCTCGCTTTTTAGCTAAGACGTAACATACGATGTGAGGATAGAAGTGACTTTCTTGATGGGAGTTTCTTGTAAATTCTGTCAAGTGTTACAAAAACTAGAAAAAATACGTGTTGGATTTAGGTCACGTTGGGATTGAGCGCTGGAATTGTATCAGTATTGTAACGCTACGGTAGAAATCGATATGCCTCTTTAACTGTCCTCATCGTGATTAGCAGAATAGGAGCCTTGCATTACTCCCAATTCCTTTTCCAACCAGCTGCTACCGTGTGATGTTTATCGGTGTTTAGTTAATGCTTCTTTAGGGACCAGTCATTAAAACAGGGGGCGGGGAGGGGTCAGAGGTAATAAGGGAAAGGTCATCAAATAAAAAAACAACATGACAGTCTCTGGTGGAGGACAAATATGATGCCCATATTTGGTGATGTCTTCAAAACTACGACGAGTATCAGTGGAAGGTCATAATTATCAGTACAAAAACCTCTGACCACCCCTACTCCCCAAACTCACCCCTAACCACCACCCTGTAATACATGACCGGTCCCTAGTAGTTAATTCACATCCCTTTCTTGTCACGCTCGGTTCGTAAGACGAGCAAGAACTTCTTTTCCTATGTATATGTGAGTGAGTGAGTTGGTTTAACGCCGCTTTTAACAGTATTCCAGTTATATCACGGCGTGTCAGCTTAATGTGGGAGGAAAGCCTGAAGTGATGCAGGTCTCAGACGTTTACCACTTCGGTGAAACCCACGAGCACGGGTATGGTGCTGACAAACCATCGGGACGAACCGGGATTTAAACCCACAATCATAGGTTTCTGGCGTGCCCAAGGGACGCAACTCTTCACAGCGAATCGCGGCGCCTTAGACGACTGGACCATCCGTGCCCCCACTAAACCCTAAATTAAATAAATTAATATCAAACACCCCCCCCCTCCCCATGTATATGTGTTCAAACAGGTGGGGATATTGATTTATAACTCTCCACAGATCCTTCTGACAGTTACAGTTATGTTTGCTCGGCAAGCTATGTTTCAATTATGTGTGATTTTGATGGACATTAGAGACGCTAAGTGGCATAATCACCCCTATTGTTGTTAATGCAACTACATTGAAACACGTGTCGCTGGTCATAGATTGGACATATACAATGTACATGGAATGGCGGGTTCTCCTTGAGCGATCGAAGAGCCGTAGTATTCACATATAGATCATGGTATTAACAGAAGTATCCAGCTGACAATGGAACTTTTATACAGGACTATTCGACCATACATTCACTAAGTTGAATGCACATAATCAGCATCGATTCTGTAAACAGATGATGGCATATGCAGACGGATTCTGCTTTGACCAATATCTTGTCATTTCTGTCATATTTTCTCAGACATGAGCCAGTAGTATACCAAATAATTTAATCCCGGAAATCTGACATCATATGTTACAGTTTTCAGTACGTTCATGCACACAGGGGGGTTCCTGTTTAAAGGTTTCCAACAACCTGTGCTTGGGACCGCCTCCGTGGTCTAGTGGTAGAGCGTCCGCCCGGAGAGCGGAAGGTCCGGGGTTCGATCCCGGGCCGCGTCATACAAAAAGACGTTAAAAGATGGTACTTGTTGTTACATTAAGGGGCTAAAACAAGGACTGGTCGGCTCGGAGTCAGAATACTGTGTCTGAGTGGGGTATTCATGTTAAACTGCGGCATGGTATCTCAGTGAGCTAGCACTATAAATCGGCATCAGTCCGGACTAGTACAAGCAGCCACACACACACACACCCACACACTGAAACAACACTTCAATAATATTTGTTCTCATTATAAACCTATCCTCCGCGCGATGGGGTATATTTTTGTTACTTTTGTTACAACCCATGATTGTCGTACGAGGGCTCGGCGACTTCGTTGATTTACATCTCAACGATCTCATGATATCAATCATTGGTTTGTCTGGTCTAGGCTCGATTATTTCCAGGCCGACCATCAACGCAACTCATTGAATTACTTGGCTTGTCGTAAGAGATGACTAACGGGATCGGGTGGTCAGATTCGCTGACTTGGTTGATGCATGTCATCGATCCCAATTGCGTGGATCGATGCTCATGATGTCAATCACTGGATTGTCTGGTCCAGACTCGATTATGTACAGACCGCCGTCATATAGCTGGAACATTGCTGAGTGCGACGTAAAACAACAAACAAACAAACCTTGCAAGTGAGCGCTTGACTTTGCATGTGTTTGTACCCGTGCCAGCAGTGGAGCAGGATACGCTGACATTTTCGCGGATACCTGGAATCAACACTAATTGGTGGTGCTTCATGAACACATTCTTCTGAAATAGTCTGAATTGGAAAATGGACATTGCTTTTAGAAGAGAGTTCTTATGCTTAAGTAAACTAAGGTTTGCTCAGGTGTATTAAGTTCTTTCTTACACAAAGAAGTGGGGGCGGAGTGGGCCAGCGGTCAAAAGCGCCAGGCTGGCATGCGCCAGATGCTGAGGTCGTATCCCCGCTAGTGACTGGGTTGTTATTCAGCCTTGGGACCAACAATGTTTCCAGGTCTTTACAGTGCTGTCACTACCCCTAGTGTACAGTACATACACCCTGTGCACTTAAACGAACCCACTCGTCCGATGCTAGATGACCAGATGGTGGAAACATGAATACGTTCATCCACCCGAAACACACCCGAAACACGTGTGGTGTCACCCTGGGCAAGTGACTTAGTTCAAATGTGCTTCTGTTCACCCAGCAGGGAATGGGTACCCGATATGTGAGGTGGATGTAAAACCTTCTAGCGCCTCTGAGCAGCTTGGGTTGTATACTCCCCAGGGAGTTGAGAATGATAACTGGAATGCAAACGGATCCACTGGTCGGGGAACAATTATAACCGCATTTGAGCAGATACCTGGATATCTGCGGTATATAAATGTGTAAGAAAGGAAAGAAAAGAATGCACGCGTTATACGCGGCATCACTAAAACAAGACATGTGTCACCATTACACCGCATTGACGTGTGACGATGAACGTTTCTATCACAGACCGTACGTTTTAGTGTGTTTTCTGGTAGTGGTACTTTCGGGTTTATATGGAATCCGCATTTATGGCTCCGGTGAGTTTAAATTCGTTTTATGAGGCAACTGGGGGACAGTTAATCTATATTGTTTTAGCAAACAAAGGTTGAGGCACTGTCACAAGAAGTGGTTTGTAAGCATTGTGCAAACCTGAAACTCACTCACGAAGTCAACGAAATCTTCAATGTTGTTTGCTGTGTGAATATATTGTTTTGATGACGTTTAGAGGAGTACCCGAACGAATTGAGTTATGATAAAATAAAATAACATAAAAAATGAGAAGAAAAAAAGTGAATACCATTCAGACTATGTTTTATTGTGTAATATTGAGAGAGCGTGATACATACGTGTGACATGTGTATTATTTCCCGAACACCAGGGGTTCTGGATATCAGAATGTCTATCCCCAGGACTAAATGGAATCAATGGATTGAATGATCAGGCTCGGTGACCTGGTTGGTTTCACGTCATCGTTTCCCAATTTTGTTCATCAATGCCCATGATGTCAATCACTGGATTGTCTGTGGCAGACTAAAATATTTGAAGACTGCCGTCGAGTAGCTGACATATTGTTGAATGCGGCGTGAACCAAAAAATCACATAAGAATTCCTGAACAAAGAATAAATAATAGAAATCATCGCGTTTTATCCATCATGCACTGATATTAACATATCATTTTCATGGAATGGAAAAGCATACAACTAAACAAAATGTTAAAGATTTATAACACACTTGAGTACTGAATTCGAACACAGCTGATCCCGGTAGGACTACCGTGTCCTATATAAGCTGGGTAAAGCAGAACTTAGTCCAAAGTGTCTGGTCAATACAAGAAGCTGATACAGCAACTGCAGCCAGAACCAGACACAGAGTACTCCCTTTGTGGCAGCATCCCTGTAATCGCGGAATGCTACATTAAACGCCCATTAGTAAAAGAACCATCTAAATAGCTTTTTATACCCCCAGGATCAATGGAAGCTCTTGTCAATATCAATTATGGTATCACACTTCCTCAATGGAGGAAGTAGTAATGTTGTTTGACAAATACGTACTTCCACGCAATTGCATCGAGGGTTAACTAGTATTGTTAGACAGGATTGCACGTTCGATTTCAATTGCAGTGTTTCACTGAAATAGAACATAAATCAAACAGTGGTTAGCGTGTGGGTTCCCCCCAACTGTCGTGGATGGGGTACAGGATCTGGTATCGTCACGGAAGCAACTCTTTAGGAAGAGAGGAACATATATTATAATAAGTCGTTTGAAGCGAGATTTATTCAGATACAAACAGATCAATTTGTTTTTCATCTTACGGTAAAGAGATGGCTTCGGGACAGGGTACTGCAACAAGATGAAAGGTTGGTGCTTATTTTCCTGACTCAGCCGAAAACACTTCCGTCAGGTTTCCGGGGGACATCTCCTTTGAGAGCTTGCTAGACGCTGCTTCCATATCCCGAATAACTGACATATCATGAAATCGTTTTGACAAAAACAAATTGGTTTCAAAACATTGGCATTTTCGAAACTTGTTATTATTAGAAAAATACATGACATATCAGTGTTTTTCTCTTTTTTCGGACAATAAGGGTCTTGGCACCAATACTCTGTTGGGGTGTATATGTTACAGGAAACAAGCATAATCAGTGATTAAGTCTAATAACTAGAAATTTCAGTCATTATGTCTAATAATTGATTCACTCGGTGGTTATGTCTTATCACTGAAATCTTCAGCAATTAGACATAATCACTGAAATAAACCAAGGGATTTTATACTTGTTTACTGAAAGCATATCCCTGCCTTTTTATAATAACTTGTGAGAATGCATCATAATCCTGTCCTAAGCCAATCTCCTGTAAACAAACAGAATCAGCAGCACAACTTAACAGCATCGTGCAGAACAGAAAAAGAGCCAGAGAAGCACAAGAATAACAAGCCCAGCGCATGGTGAAACGCAGGAAACGTGTTTTGGGGCCTGTAAGTGTTGGAGACAATGTAACTGTTCCTATCCCCCATGTCGACAGAGGAAGAGGTGATCCACATAACATAATTGGTGTAGTTTTTGAGTGTAGTTACAATGACATGTTCACAATTGCAGTCAAGGGTGCTGTGCTAAATGGGAAATATTCCCGTAACCAGTTTGATGTATGTGTCACCAAACTGTATAATGCTGACGATTTCAATACCGATCGGACACTCTCTTTGCCTCAAGCGGTTCAACTTGACTCAGTCTGTGGTGGTCAAGACTATACACATTTAAGATCTGGTTTAGATCATGTTGGTCTTCCGAAAAATGAATAAAGTTTGGCATAATGCATAAGTAACAATATCTTACAGTTGCCCGTGAAGATCAGGGTTAGAATTGATCTTGATCTTCAGCAACCCGAGCTTGTGCAACGAACGGGATCGGGTAGACAGTTTCGCTGACTTGGTTGATGCATGTGATGGTATCCCAATTGAGTAGATCGATGCCCATGGTGTTAATCATTGGATTGTCTGGTCCAAACTCGATTTTATATACAGATCGCGGTCATATAGCTGGAATATTGCTGGATGTGACATTAAACAACAAACAAACATAACTTAAAGGACGGTGTGGACCGAACAACATATGATTCCTTGGTCATTATCTTGAAATACAAAACAGGGACTATTTGGCAATGCAGAGAGACATACATGTGACTGCTTCGAGACAGCTAGACTAACATTTAGTCTCTGAAATCTTATTACACAATATCCTTCTTGACTCTAAAAATTAAAACAAAATTCCCTATGCTGATTTCAGAGCTAGCTTGAGCTGGCTAAACTTGCTTTTGTATGCATTTTTAGATTATTATTATCATAAAATAAATATATTCCACAGTCATGGTGCAGGATTTCGAGACAGCGGGAGTTCCTTTTTATTCTTTTCCTTGCAGGATCCTCATCCAGTGGTCAGCGAGGGGACGGCAGGAAACACCACGCATGACAGACGTCGTCGTAAGGTCGCCAAGATGGTGGCCATCGTCGTCATTCTGTTTGCTTCACTCTGGTTTCCGATCCACGCCTTCAGTCTTGCCTACCACTTTCACCCCCACTTCCCCAAGACTCAGGTTCTCTACAACATCAAGATCATTGCACACACTCTGTCCTTCTTCAACTCCTGCGTGAACCCCTTCGTCTATGCCTTCATGGGCGACGGATTTCGCCGTGCGTTCCGGAAGTCCTTCCCATCATGCATCAGGCGCAACCGGATTATACCCTGGGTAGCGAGCGAAGCTGGACACTCGGCCATGAACGATACCCGTATGACGGAAACCTTCAGAAGCCGATCAAATACCCAAAAGAGCACCAAAGCCTAAATATCATGATGGACAGTACTTCAATATTGTAATGGGTGGGTTGGTATAGAATTACTTTGATTTTACTCTGTATTTCTTGGATACAAACTTACAACATGGCCGACATAGAAGCATGTATTAGTGAGGAGGACAGAAGTCATCGTTTACGTAATCTTACGGCATGGGATTCTGTCCGTCAAATCCATCTCTCCGCCCTTAGCAACGAATTAACCCACTCCCCTTCTATAATATATGCCCCACTGGCAATAGCGCTGTCCATTTTGTGGAAAACTATTCGTTACTAAGATATCAAATTAATATGTATTACTTCACTTACGGAAGCTTTCATATGCAGAAGCAGCATTTATGACGTTTTTGAATGAAACTGGTCTTCAGCAACCCATGCTTGCCGTAAAAGGTGACAATGCTTATCGTAAGAGGCGACTAACGGGATCGGGTGGTCAGGCTTGCTGACTTGGTTCATGCATGTCATCGTATCCCAATTGCGTGGATCGTTGCTCATGATGTCAATCACTGGATTGTCTGGTCCAGTCAACTGGTCTTAAAAAGAGTTGAGGAATAACCCCTTAGCTTTTGTAAATAGTAATATAAAGTTTCCAAACGTAAAATGTATACCAAATCAAAAAATCAAATTTTAAGTCTTCTTTTTTGTTCTTTAAACAAGGTATTGTGAACTGCCGTCATTTTCATCCCTCACCAGAGGTGCACAGCAAATTGCATGGGAACAATGGAGATGTTACATTCCTTTCGCTCCAAACACGACTATAAAATACATAATCATTGTTCTGCTGCGTTCGATCTAAAAAAGTCGCAAAATTGTAAAATTATTATTCATCTTCAGACTGCCTGGAGAGCGGAAGGTAGAAGAGCGTTAAGAGACCAAAAGACGTTAAAGGATGATATTTGTTGTTGCCCTGCCTGCTCCCCATTTGGGTGAATAAACAAGGCTGGTCGGGTCGGGGACAGTAGACCGTGTCTGAGTGGTGTATTCATGTAAAACTACGGCAGGGTACCCTTATGTAGTACTATAAAACCGACATTAGTCCGGACTAGTATAAGCAGCCGCATGGACATGAACGCAACATTAAATCCCTTTTCACTCTATCTCATCTCATAACTTCAAATGATCCCATTTAGTTTTGACTGTGATGATGTGTATGCCAACAGGACAAACACTATCGTTTGATCCAAGCGCTCTACTAATGCAGTCAACGACTGATCAGATAAATGTCATTTTGCCCTGTCGAGTTTTACTGTGTTGACCCAAAGGCGAAGCAATAAATACCTATTGGCATTACAAGGCCAACTGAGCCTCTATACGATCTAATCAGGTCCACATTGAGGCTTGTTATCCCCGGTAATTAGATAGATTACCAAACACTTTTCTGTTCTGACGTTTCCTGCCTGGACTATCCTCGGTAAGTATTTGAAATGATCGAAGGGAAAATGCTTATTCGATTAGATGAATCGGAATGCGAGTTAACCATGCGGGTGGTATGGTTCTAAGAGTGCAAATGAACCGGTAAATTTTATTAGGCAGAAAATCGCGTCAAATCAGACGCTAGAAATGTGACAAATTGTGCAGGAATAGTTTCAAACGAATTTTGGTCTTTCTATTTATCTATCACGGGAACAAGGGCAGATCAATGTGGTGTTCTCAACTCTACTAGTAAGCAAGGACGCGGTCACTAGGTGAAGCGAGAGCGGAGAACAGCGTCACTGTCGACGTAAAAAAACAGCCAAACAGCGAGCGGTCGGTGTATTTTTATCTATATTGCTTAGAGCGTTAGTCATTTGGTTTTTCTGACTATTGTGTAAGAAAATACGTATATTATCCTTTTGAATCTTCTTCTTTCCAAATAAATGGATACATGGATTTTATCTCATAAATATTTATCCTAACCGACTTATTTTCAATAGGTTCAGTAATTAGTTTCGTGATTCGTATCAAATATTCCAAAAATATAAACATTGTTATGTTTTTTGGCTTTCATGCCAGTATATAAGCTCCCGGGCTAAAGAAACTGTACACCCATGTTTGATGATGGCTAAAATGAAACAAACAAGAAATGGTTATTCGATAATGATATATTTGATACGGTATCATAGTTGTGTATTGGACCTGTTTTCAGCCTAGGAATGTTTTCATAACGTTTGTAATCCTTTCCTCAAATCCAATCTTCCAGTATATTTATGTTACAGTGGACGGAGTGTATAATTTTCTAGTCGATATCATGTAGCACAATGTAAGGCTTCGGAATATTTACATGTACCATATAGATTCATGACACTTGGAGATCCTGTTTGATTTACAAATGTCTTAACTAGTTTGTTAAGACATCGGATTAGAAACATGGAGTCGGGTGTTGCAGGTGCTGAGCATAACATTACAGACAACCATACAACGTTCAAGACAGACAGACAGACAGACAGACAACCATACAACGTTCAAGACAGACGGACAGACAGACAACCATACAACGTTCAAGACAGACAGAGAAACAGACAGACAGACAGACAGACAGACAACCATACAACGTTCAAGACAGACAGACAGACAGACAGACAGAGAGACAGACAGACAGACAGACAACCATACAACGTTCAAGACAGACAGAGAAACAGACAGACAGACCGACAGACAACCATACAACGTTCAAGACAGACAGACAGGCAGGCAGACAGACAGACAGACAGACAGACAGACAATTGTTTATTAACGTCTCACTTCTGTACAACATACTACATACATATATACATAGAACATAGATAAAAGTACAGAACCACTCAATATGAGTTATGAGGGACGAGGTCACATAAAAATAAATACAAGTAGAATATATAAGTGGTAAAATATATCACGAAGGTAAATCTAAGCATTATATAAAATATTCTTGCGTTTTTCAAGTAAAATTTGCAGGTTTTGGCAGTTAGAAACAACAAATCATCATTGGACATAATAAAAGAGAACTTATCAACATCAGATAAAACTTGAAAAGTATAAGAGATAAAAGGCTATCAGTAATGTTTTTATATAAAGGACAATGAAATAAAACATGGCTTTCATCCTCCACGTGTTCAATGTGTGTTGATGGGATAGCCTAGTGGTTAAAGCCTTCGCTTGTCACGCCGACGATCTGGGTTTTATCCCCATGTGAGTGCAACGTTTGAGGCTCATTCATCGCGTCAGTGATGTTATTGAATTTATTCATCTCTGTGACAGGGATATCACACAGTACACGGCTGGACAGTGATTTTTAGTACATGTTTGTTCAGTTTATATCTTATCGTACAGATCTGTAGCAGTCTGATATCCAGACAATTAATTGATTCATACAGCACATGTCTGTAGCGATGATCTAATATAGTACGTAATCTTTAACAGCAGTATCATACCATATAATGCCTGTAACAGTTTTACTGATATCACAATTTATCATATAATGGGTAGGTTTTCGGCAGGATAAAACCAACGGATAAAAACGATATCCGTTGGGGTCATATGCGGATAGAGATGCAAATATCAAAGGTCAAGTAGGGACTACTTTCACTGTTTATAAACATCGCCCTCGTCATTCGGCGATCGAGTCAGAATGAACCATCGGGGATCTGGATAAACTACAGGGATAATTGCTATCATTATCAAAAGAACAGTCTAATATACTGAAAATCAGTGTCTAACTGTGACGTAGCTAAGGCATTTTATAAGCTTTGGCAACTTTGGAGATGTAAATTTCGAAACAATTTTGCGAGGGCACCAGGCCTAGCCAAGCGGGATCAGTGGCCATATTGGTGCTTGTAGACCTCTGCGGCTTGAAACCTTCTCCACAAATTAAAGTAGTTGGATTTGGCCGAAATATGTTTGAATTGTTACCTTGTTTCGTTTTGTCGCTGTGTGTACATCTGACTACACTTCTTAACATTATGACAGAACAGACCGACTGTCAACAACGTCTGACCGTGGCCGTGACGTCTCGTAGACAAGGGTTAGAGTAGCTTCCCTTTGACAAAGGGCAGTTACTCTAGCGGACAGACCGATGGATTGCCGCGAAAGGCAATTAAAAACAATTGTTGTTTTGCGTATATGTTGCTTCGACACTGTATAAGAAACAGATTTCAGTTGGAACTGTCACTGTCCGACTGACACATCACTAACCCTGTGACGTAATAAATATTGATGCGCGCATTCCAGGATAACTCACAATGTTTCGGTAATGTTTGTGAGAGAGTTAAAGCGATTTTGAAGCACAGAATTAAAGAATGACATTATATGATAAAGAGGTTATCACGCTTGTGTGTTTGGGGATGGTAAATATCCTGTATTAGGAATAAACACTATGTATTTAGCTCGCCAAGGCTCGCTAAATACCATGTTTATTCCTAATGCAGGATATTTACCATCCCCAAACACACTCGCGTGATAACCTCTATGTACACATCAGTAACAGTTGTATACAGTGATATCATGTTGTAAATGTCTGTATCACAATGTGCTTGTAGAAATGAATCATATATTTGTAGTATGCCTGTGTAGCCGGGTGGTGGTGCTAACTTTGAATGAGTTATAGCCACATAAGTACCACCCACTTATAACCCCCTTAGATTCATTCTATACATATATACATACATGTTCATCTATTATCACCATCACTTCATTCTGTGTTCATTCTATGTTGTCCTTGTCTGCAGTTGAATGTCAGCCAACTAACACCAACCTGATACCCTTTTGCAGCCTCTGTAATTTCTCCAGCTTCACCTGGACTTCCCCCCTATCTATTTTTAGATATGTCCACCACTTTAATTGACTGAAGCATCTTGACTTCCTTTTAATACCTGTCAGATGCTACCTTTCTTCTGATTGGCCCTTTGGTCCACTTCTTTAAACTTCCTTTCTCACCTGCTCTCCTCATGCATTCTGCATGAACTCTTTATGGAGGGAGGACTCTTGTTTACAGGTGAGAAACATTTCGATATTCTTATCTCTTTCCATCCTGCTTTAG